ATATGAAGTAGGCAACTTGACCCTAGGTCATGACTTGACTCTGGATTATTCATTACATGCACCTAGGCTCCTTCCTAAGGTACGCAATGCAAGCCAGAAAGGTCCGTCCTGAAGCTTCGCGCGTCATCGGCAAAAATGACAGAAATTGTTTTGGTGGGTCATGCCTGATTGTAACTTCTTGGTAATCATTACTTTACGCCTTCCCAATGTATGATCTTGTAATAATAAGTTATTGCTTTATTCTGAACGAGAGATACGTCACAGAAATAGAAAAGGTTCTTGTGGGTTCTGGAATTCGAGTATTTATATATGGTTAAAATGTAGAAACACGTAATCAGATATTGCAAATCGTGCTGCTGGGCAAGACCTGATGCATACTACCCTATATTATAAAGTAAACAAATCGTTTTTATCACATCTTTGTATATTATAGTGATGCAAAATAAAAACATTTTGCTTTAAATATTTTTAACCAAATTTTTTGCAATAGAAACAAAACCAGTTATCACTCTCTTGAGAGAACTGACATAAAGAGACCGAAATAACGTTTCTAATTATACATAAATAGTGTATTTGGCATAAATAACAGAATACATATGACGTCATATCGTAGTGAAAATCCAGCTATGTTTACAACTGCACGACTTCCATGATTAATACCTTGTGGAAGGGAAGGTAAAGTAGTATTCACGTAAATAGACAAGTAGTTGATATCTCTATTCTGTTCACAACGGCTGACTTTGAATGAAAATTCTCGAACAAAAATTTTTGAAAATTCTGTTTCAACAGCTCACCATGGTGGGGAGAATAGCAATATCGATCTTTAGCAGCCTCACGCGGAAAATTGGTAATTCTAGCACGTTTGAACGGCTATGTTACATACGTAACCTATTTTTATTAGTTACAAATAGTTTCATCGGTAATATTAAAATATCTACCACCCAGATTTGTAAACTATAATAAATCGTTTGCTTGAAGCTACTGTACAAAACTTTGCTCAGAAAAGATTGATTACCAAATCAAAAGTGAAAAAACTTTATTAGAGTGAGTGACTTGACATGAACGATCAACGTGCTGGCAGCTGCACGATATTGTATGGATGAGTGGCAACTCTTTTCTATTTGGGCAATCGACATAGAAACCGCCTCTTCGTATTATATTTAGTTGCTTACCATTGGAGGCGCTGGTGGTACATACGTTTACCCGTTTTACTGATTGTGACTTCATAATACCCTCGCGCGCTTACGTGAAATGTGACGCTTCGAAGGGATTGATTCCAGGGTTGCCAGATTGGCTTTTCAAATGCCAAATTTGCCATGTTTGGCTTTTTTCAAACACGTTTGGCGTCAGAATTTCCATTTGGCTTTTTGTCGTTTATTTGGCTTTTTCAAATTCTATTCTAGAGTCTATTATTAAAATCACATGAAATACAATATTTAGTGTGTAACAATAGCCTATTGCTTAGTTACTTAACATTTGAATTTCCCCGAACATCACTTTCTTGTTTATTAGGGTACCTTGCAGTTTCTGCAGCCGTTCAGGCAAGGTTGTAAACATTGCCTCGTTTTTATCGTTTTGCGCGTTTTTTGTCAGTTTATAGTTTCGTTTCTAAAAAATAGTTGTTTAACTTAATTTTCATTATGACTTAGGTCATGTTGAGCTTTGGTTTAGTTGCAGTATAAAAAAAATTTAGTCTCACGAACGATGTGATTAACTACGCTAAAATTAGCTATCAATATAGTCAGTCCCCCTGTACAGCTGTAAGCGGCACGTGGTTAGATAATTTTTTAATAAAATTGAGGGTTTCCAAATTTAAAAAATGAAAAAATTTTAATATTTAAGTATGGTATAAGGACAATTTTTCAAGATATATCACAAGTTCAAGTAGAAACATGTAGGTATATCACATACTGAAGCGGCACCATGCATTGCATATATTGCATTGTAAAACAATGCTGTCCGCTTGATATTTATTTTTTATTTAGCCATCGAAGTAATTTGGTCATCAAAATCAAAGCGTTTCGAATATAAAACCGGCGAGAACAAACCAAGACCGAGTAACTGACCGAAAGGTAACGAAACAGTCTTTCCCAAACTGCTCATATGAGCGAACGGCCAAGTCTTTGTGACGAAACAATGACAATCAGCAAGCGTGACAAGACAAGATTGCCACAAAACTGGTGGATTAAGAATGGAATTCTCGAAAGAAAAATTGGGGGGGGAGGGCCCCTCAGGAAATTTTTATGTTAAATATGTTTATATGTTCGTATTTATATAGAAACTTGTAGTGGGCCGCACGAATTCTTCCTGTGGGCCGCATGCGGGCCGCGGGTTGGACATCCCTGGTGTAGAGTGTAGATTCTGGCGCTGCCATTCAATTAATCCCTTTTACTTTTAAACCCTTCATCCCGCTGAAGTGGAAATCGCCATGATAGCAACCAAAATGCAACTTTCACTAATGGAAAAAGACATTTGCGTGGCTCAATAAATGAACTGCTGACTCTACATCCTGACATAAGTATGGTGCCGAAAGCTTCACTTCTGACAAATAATGGGGATTTTGTACTCAGTAAAATTGTGGCTTTTTCTTTTTTTTTCAGATCTTGATTTGGCTTTTTTTGATCGCTGGGATCTGGCAACCCTGCTTGATTCAACCATTTCAGGATTGTAGATTTGTGGTGCAAGGTTTTAATTGTCTTTATAATATATTTAGATTAATAACAATAACCTAAACCTATTAAACTGTTTTCAACCAACTGTCGATTGTGTTGTAAGCTGGGAGCTACACTGTCAAGTACGTATTTCAGTTTATTGTTTTTATATTTAGGGAGTATTTCTTCGACTGTAGAATATTAGTCTATGTGAATGCCTGTATTGTAATCAGCCGTAACTGTTTTTCCTGGGCCAGGCCTGTGTGTGTTTATTTGGGTTCAGGCACATCAACTGTTGTTAATATGGTTCTTATGTTTTCTCTAGAAAACCGTACTTACCTCGTACCGCCTTACACCTTTACTTTTCGCCGTACGTATCACATTACTTCAAGATGGCTGACGACGCGAGAAGGTCATTACCTCACATTTTCTTTTTATCCCCATAAATCTCGATAATTTATCCAAAATTTTGTCACTCGTACGAATATTGCCAACACGCGGTATTCCGTCAGACTAGCCCGCCGTCTGTCTTATCGGTACGGATGTGAATTGATACGATGATGGAATGAGATTTGTAATTTTGAGTTTTTGGATGACCAGGTAACGGAATTAGGTGTCAGTTACATAGATAGCAGTTAGTCAATGGATCTGATATTTAAGCTTTGTTCTCTTGATAGTGGACACGGAATGAACCTATGAATCGTTTTGTTCTCACGTCGTTGTTATGAAACAACTATCTTCTATCTTTAATTACTGGATCAATTGTTTTAAAATTTGAATTATTTTAAAAATTTCTGTGGACTCTATTGGAGCCGTCTTTCGCCTCGAAGTTTTGTGTGATCACACCATCAAAATTGCGCACCGTGTCATGGTAATCTGGGGGTCAGACTTTCGGTACTGCAAAGGTTTGTTACTAGTTCGTTTCGGCATTCGGGTCCTATATTTGAGCATTCCTTTTCTGTTATTACCTGAAGGGACAGAATCTTGAGTAATTTTTATCGACTCGTTTCATCCTAATTGATAATACCAAAATTTATGAAAATGATGATTTTCTGTATGGGTGCTAAAATTAGCGACATCTAGAATATTCTTAAGTTTGGTTTATATGTACTCCAGCAATAATAAGAAATCATTCAGTAACTGCGCAATTGCAACCCTGCTGTCAAATTGATAAGTCGTAGGTATTCGTTTTTCGACTCACTTTTAAAATGTTATTGATTCTAATAAAATTTTCAAGTTTAAAAGTTCAACAACAGCTAAATAACAGACTACACAATGTACATAATGAGTCAACAAAGCATATCTTGATTTATATTTATTCATAAAATGGAATTTCATGTAGCAAAACACGAAAATGAGAATCTAGCATGAACTAATACCTACTTTTAAAAATATAAAGGTAAGGTAATGTTTCAACAACAATGTAACACTTTTATTGTTTGTATATTGGAGTATGTGTAAGTTAGATATTCAATTCCACAAGACTATACAATAAACCTTGGATGCTGTGCGAAACCCAAAATTTGTCCGAATGTTCTTTATCGTGCGACGTGTAATCTGGATTTGAAATTACTGCAAAAATGAAAAAGTATATTAGGTAGTTATCATAATCATTCGATACAGTTTTTACACTATATATAATACTCCGTAGCTAATAATACAGCTAATAATACAGGCCGATAATAAAATATGGCCCAAATTCTAAAAAGAACGGCATGCTTCAAAATATTTATTGACTATTTTAAAAAAAAACTATCTGTATTAAAGAGAGCTAGCATTTATATTTGAAAAATCGTGCTTCATTTGCCGATTTTGTTTTCTAATTTTAAATATATTTTCGCATTTGAACCTAATTATGAATCTGGAGCAATGGTGGTGGTCTTACTTGTACAACGACATATATAATGCAACGTTCATTGTATTCGACTTTGTCTAGCTGGTAAACTCGATATTGTTTTTAAATAGCTATGGAACGGTTCTTCGATTTCGTCATACGGTAATATTTGTTTAGTAGGAATTTACCCAATCTCATACCAACATGTAATAAGAAAATTATCTGCATCTGGAATAGATTTGTATATTTAAAGCAGTTTAGACAACTAACTATCACTGCGGTATAAAAAAAAAGTTGTCACAATCACCTTATTTTTCGCAGTTCCTTGCGAACAAAATGAATTAGTGGAAAGCAACATGTTGGGTAACGTGCAAGACTCCAAATGCTTCAAGTTTTTGAACTTATTATAAATAGCGATAAACCAATGGTGATGTTGCTGAAAAATAATGTTAGTAAAGTTAACCAAAATTAGTTATTTGAGAAATTTCCTATTTGAATACATAACAAATTGAGTATCGTTGTTCCTATAAAAAGGACCCTATTCTATATTCACATGTGCTTGGTTTATGGTTTATATTACAGCTTCAAAATCATCATTTTAATATATCTATTTCACTCAGAGAATACATACACGCTACTAGTTAGTTCAATATACATGTTAGTTCAATATTAATATTTCGGAGGATTGTTTGCAATGGATGTCACAACGTATTTGGGAAATGGTATTAAGTTTGAGCTTCTTGCACTTTTAATTAGATCAATATCTCTAATGAACTTTTACGATTTATAATCTTTATGCACAATTCGAACTTGTATACAATTACTGTAATATTTATATTTGTCTGGATATGTGTGCAATCAGTAGCACGATTCTAATAAGCTTGAATTCAGTGTAAATATCTTCAGAATTACTGGACTTTTCGTCGTCGTGCATGGAGGGGTTCACAATAACCGACGACCTCAAGGTAATTCGTCTCACGACTTTCAAGCTCATGCGAACGTTACAATATCCCGTCTCACTTGTTGCAATTGTCGTTCATACACAGTTATCCTATTTTCAAAATTGCGACAAAAATGTTACACTGTCTTTTCCCGCTGCTGCCATGATAGTACTTATCCAGAGCAAAAAAAGTGAATTACTTACGTATATGTCGTGTTCCTGTAACGATCTTTCCATGTTGAATACACATCATCGCCAAGCACATCGAATAGCACGGTATCTTCCCCATATCCCTAAATGAAGCAAAGCACATCTATATATATACTAAAATACGTGTTGTTGCAGTTGGTTGCAGTTATTCAAATTAAGGTTAATTAACAACCCTTAAATCTGTTGATCTAAAATTTGCAATAATAACTTCCACCCACTTTAACTTTTTGCCTATTTGAAACACCACAAGAGACATTGATATGTATATTCCATTTTTTTCCTCCGAGTTTTGCGACTCGATTCAGTAAGTAGTCATGTTTATTTGAACAGCCCTGTGGCTATTTATTGTGTCAGTTTTAATGAAGTCGAAATGAAAGATATCAACTTGGTTTTGGTATATACGTTCATACTTATCATGCTTAATTTGGGGGAAGAAAGTTGGCATTTTAAATTCCTACTAACTTGCGAATTATGAAATATAGATTCACTGTCATCTCGTCGCATGTTCATTGCATTGCATGTAGAATACAAGTACTTTTGTATAGCTTTGTAACTTGAAGACAACAACTTTCTCTTCACTCTGAAAATATTTTTCGAAGCGATTGAAGACATTTCTTGATACCTCTGTATCATCTCTCTGAGTCGCATCTTTTTTCTGATCATCTTCCTCTGACAAAAAATTTATTATTTAAATGCAAGCTTTTATAATGCTTCCAATGAATATTAAGATGTACTTATAGAAAATATATTCAAAAGTAAATTTATCCTGATTCCCATATATTGACATTTTTTTATTTAAAGGTAATTTTACTGCAAAAACCGTTAAAACAGATAAATATAAAATTTATATCACTTTGTTTATTCGCAATTCAGCAATTCTACCTGAACCAAGTTTGGTAATGTGGTGGCCTGGAATATGAAGAGCGTTGACAATGATTGAAATTTTCTGATAAATGCTGCCATTTTGCATATGGCGAAGTTTCTTTGCACACACCGTACGTACATTCAGTACTTAAACTACGATCAAACCGCAGAACATGTCTGAACTCATCGTATTTTCTGTCTCTCAATATTTATCGAAAATCATCGTGATGTTATCTGATTTAATCCAGACAAAAACGTGTCGAAATGTTTCGCCATCTTGTTGTTTGAATCAAATATGCCATGAAAAGTAGGACTTTGAATAAGACGATATATTAAATATAGATGCTAATCTATTGAAGCTATGGTAGACAAACCGAATTTCAAGCACCATGTACACGCATATAGAGCTTAATTGTCATAACTGCAATATAAGCATAGAGGTTAGATATCCATTCAGAATGAGGAACATTCAAACTAAAAATCTTTCAAACTAATTGTCGTGAATATAGAAATACTTGGTTTGATATACAGATTTGATTTATATGATTGACTTTAAACAAGTATTATTTGTGTGATCGTCTAACATACCCCATGTTGTCGTTGCATTGTCCAATTGCCGCCGATTGAATCCTAAATATGTAAATGCTTTAATAGTGGAATAAATAAAATGAATAAATAGTTTTTATAAATTTGGAAATTGTATTTTAAATATTCAATCACTTCAAGTGTTTGAGTTTATACGTGACTGTGTGGGATCTGGAATACAGAAAATGTAAACTTTTATTTTTAACTCTAATGTATGTTTCCCCGATCATCAACTTTCCTGTTTGTATCCGAAACAGTTACCTGTCAGGGATAATTTAGCGGTGATGCAACAATTGGAATTTTCTCAACAGCTAAGGCTTCGACAGATTGTCAAATATACTTGAAAACATTCACTCGTTTTCATAGTTTTACTCGCTCTATTTTTGTTCTTTCCGAAAGTTAAGAAGAAATTGAAGAACTCAAGGATTATTTTGAATCCTTAGACGTTTGCAGTAATCTAAAATTAATTCTGGTAAATGTGCGATAGATTGGGATAAAATTAGCTATCTGTACTTTTGTATTGCACGTGATTAAATATTTTGAATTCAAATTAACATTCTGAACATGTAAATTGTAAGCGCCAACTCGCAAAAACACTCACAAAAACATAAAAAATTGAGCAATGGTAAAATATGGGGGAATTTTTGGGGCTCAAAGGTCGAGTGGTTTATCAATGGAATATTTTTATTTCAATAATATGCATTCTTCGATTACGCTGTCAATCATTTTCAGAATTTTTTTTTTGTGAATATCAATTGCCTTTGTAAATATAATGGATTGTGTCGTTTCCCTCTCATTTTAGCGATATAGATTAAAACACTGTTTAAAACGTATAATAGAATGTTATAATACTGCCATATGTGATTTTTCTAATGAATTTTTTCGTGCGTATAGCAATGGAAGACAAATGCCGCGATTATGGCATTGATTTTCAAATCGAAGCTATTTTAAGTCCGCCAGGAGAATAATATAAACATAATAAAAGTTGGTTTCAAATTGTCAGGCGCAAAAAATTTAAATTATTAGGAGCGCATATATTTTCATACTACACACACATCACACAACATTCATTTCTGTTTGATTGAAGTCAGAAGTACATATGTTTACAAAGGCATTTCCTTGTGCCTATAGAAAATAAACTTTGTAAAGCATGCTGTGCCAAGAAACAACTGATCACTTACCATTAGCATTCGAGATTTTTGAATGGCATTTCCTAAGTTGAGAACGGTATCACATTGCAGGAATGAAACCCTACAACGAGACATATTAAAAAGAGATCGACATAAATCAGTTTCAAATGATAGATGATTTTCTTTGAATCTGTCGTTTTCAACTCCCGAATGGAGAAATTTGCTTTCGGAGTTTGAAATCAAAAGCAATATGCCAGCCGCTGGAAGAATATCTGTTTAAAACGAAGAAATCATTGTGTCGTATTATATCATTGTATGCTATTTTCGATAAAAGAATGCAGGCAGTCAGCAAATTAGCATTTATGAAAAACATCATCTTTCATATCAGCAAATGCAAAATCATCTAGATAGCAGTCATTATACCATCACTATATTTTTAATCTACGCTAAGACTCACAAGACTTTGCGTGTATCATAATTGCCTTCTTTTTGCCTTCAGGAGTTTCCAACGCGACTACCTCCAGCTTTACCAATAATCTTCCATATATAGTTAATATATATGTGCAACACAAAAGTTCATAAAGAACATTGGGCAAAATTAAAAATAAGTTGAAGAAATATATTCGAGAACAAATGCCTTTTGGCGCCTCTTTCGTAAAGAAAATCAAATCATCATATTTATCGGCAAGTTCAATTATCATGAACACATTTTAATTGAATGTTATACAAAATTAATTGCTCGGCGACTGAATAAATTTATAAAACCTCAACGAGATGACGTCGAGTTTTCAATGTTTCGTAATTCCCAAATTAATTTATGCTTTGCACAGACATCAGTAGAATCGACATTATTGAACCCGTAATAGACATATGAGTAATTTACTCAAATACGCATCATATGGCGTTACTTAGATGGGTGAATTATTATTTTCAGATGGATATGTATATAAATCAAAAAAACACTTGAGTGGTCTTCATTAAAGGTGGATTATATTATATCAGTATCTACATGTAAAACACCGATCTTATTTCTTGTGGTTGCGCACTAGGACCTCCTCAAAAGAGAAATTAGAAAAATTTCCGCTTGTCAACGAAATATATCATTTAGTTAATATTATTTGATGTTGTTACGTATTTCGTTCCAACATTTTCCTCTTTGTGAATTTCCCTACCTTGTTCTTTTAATAATGTGTTCGAATGTCTTTAGTCTAAATCATAAATGGTGAAAAACGTGCCAGTAACTGTGTAAAGTTTTGGTATAAAAAGTAGCAGTAAGTATCTTGGCGTCCCAGTTATTATGCTTTTGGAAAACATGCTTGCACTGGATTGACTCCAGTTGAGAAAAAGGACGTCGGTTGCGTAAGCCGACTGGTAGGAGGAACGTACTCTTCAATAAGGGTCCCTCGACTAAAGCCCACCTGCAGGCTAGGTAACACAACCCTTAAAAATAGAGGTTCAGTTTGTTTAACCGTAAATATGTTTAACGAAATGACCATAATAATCTGTACAGCTATTATACCTTGTATAAATATTTATGTCGCATGGACAGAGGTCTGGTAAAGTTATATCAACTTCAGGAAGCTACCTACAACAACTGCACATTTACTACTATCATTGGCGCGGAAGGGCTACAACAATGTTACCCATACACGACTAGTCTGCAACATAAAAGCCAGGCAATGGCAATAGCAAGCGTCTAATTCAGGGGTTCCCAAACTTCATTGGCCGCGGGCCAAAATTAGAATCGGAAGGGTGTTCGAGGGCCGGAACAGTGTAGCGCGCGATGATTTAGTCATGCCATTTTTTGAAGCATGTTTGTTAACTCATAATGGTGCTTTATGACGTATTCCTTCAGTATTGGGATGGTTTGCTGACAAAGAAGACAAATCGCTGAAGTTTGATTCTTTTCAACCATTTCTTTATTTAAGATTTAAATAAAATCTGTTTCCAGAGTGTAGTTTATGTTTGTTATTTGACATCTCAAGCTTTCTTTTATGGTTGATATCTGAATTACTGCCCTATGTTATCCTAATACCTAATACGTATAATTGAGAGACCTGTGTGCTTAAACTGTAATAATGACATAACAATTGGCAGTGTCTATAAATCACAAAAAAGTAGAAACAAAGTCTGTTGAACACTATTTCACTTAAGCTCGACGGGCCATTTTAAATTGTAATGCGGGCCGGATTTGGCCCGCGGTTTGGGAACCCCTGGTCTAATTGAATCAGAAGAGTGGCATAACGCTTAAGGACAACAAAAATGCTCGAGAAGCAAAGACGAATTTCTGGGCATCTTTTCCGTTCCGGCAGTTGTGGTTACACATTTTATTAGGTTAAGGTATAGCTCGTATAACCAACAAAGTTCAAAACCCAGATTTGGTGCCCGCAGACAATTAGTTAGAGACCTTATAATAACGAACACAAACTTTTCGACCTGATGAAAGGAGACGACAATACCTCTGTTTGTGGGGCAGCAGATGAAACAATCACGCCTCTGGTAAAAAAAAAACATAACTCAGCCATTCTCTGAAGAAAGCGGACCCAAAGAGTCGTTTTCGTTATTTTAGCGGCCGACGTAAAACGAGAGCGCCACAAATTGTCAAAAAAGTCAGCAATATTTATGATAGGGTATAGCCGAGTTTGACAGGAAGCCATCGCAGCCACCTACACCATTTGGCGAGACCAGTAACTGCACTACATCGGCCATACCGGCGGCTATGGCTCAACGCGTTCAGAAAGCCGTATATTATCTGATTTTATCCAGACAAAAACGTGCCGATAGGTTACGCCATTTTGTTGTTTGAATCCAATATATATAACATGAAATATAGGACTTTGAATAAGACGATATGTATATCAAATATGGATGCTAATATATTAATGCTATGGTAGACGAACCGAATCTCAAGCACAATGTACACGCTTACAAAATTGTCAAGTATTTCAACAGCGATCTGTCAATAAATTTCGCGTTCGTCATCGAGCATAGCAATGCTTTGTTGAAAGAAAGCGTTATTCTCATGACTGCGATGTAAGCATAAAAGTTGGAATCCTTTCAGAATGATGAACTTTCAAATCTTCCAATATAATTGTCGTGAATATGGAAATAGGCTACTTGGTTTGATTTATTTGCATGTTCGCATGACTTTAATCAGGTATTATTTGTGTGTTTGTCTAACATACCTCATGTTGCCGTTGCATTGTTCAATTTGCGCCGATTGAATTCTAAATATGAAAATACTATATTAAGGAAATAAATATCATGAATAAAACGCTATTGCAACTTTACAAAAATATATAAGAGCTTATTTTAATTAAACAATCACTTAAGGCAGCGGTACCCAAACTATGGGTCGCGACCCACTGGTGGGTCGCAAAAGGAATCTTAGTGGTTCGTGAAAAGATGTAGAAAGCTTTGATTATTTATACTGGTTATTAGGATCGGTGGCGATACGAATACGTAAATCTTCAAAAAAACAAATTTAATTGAATTTAAATTCTAATCTGGCAAAGTTTCCCTCTTTACGATCTTCTCAATGAACAAAAATTTGCTGCTAAAAAATGTGGCTTTTTTACGCATAGCAGTTTTGTACAATGTACAGCACTTCTTACCGTGTTTCCTCGAAATTTAGACAGGATTTAGATTTATTTTCGTTTGAAGAATGACACTATGGCTATTTTTGGAAGAGGTCTTTTGAGTTCATTTATCAAAAATTACATCGTAGAAAATCACGAGATTTTTTAATGAACAATATACAAAAACCGACATCCATTGTTATTATTTGTATTTCCTATACAAAAATCAAGTGACAAATATCATAATTGTGATATCACACAATCTTGAATAGTTGCGCGATCTTCACCTTACCTCAGGTCATTTAACTATTCCTCTCCCACACATTTTAAATTCATTTTAATGGAACGGTTTCATTAAAATCATTTTTAAAATTCAAATTAGGTCTTATTTTCAGGCCAGGTCTTATTTTCGAGGTAACACGGTAGTTTTACGATGATTAGTCATTGCTGTGTTCTGTGTTATGTTATAACAAATTCAAATGGGTCGCCATAAGCTGTGGTAATAAACAGTGGGTCGCAATTCTAAAAAACCACTGACTGAAAGTATCTATTTTGTTTATACTTCTATATTTAATCCAATGTTTAAGCAATAATATATATTAGGGATGGCCAACACTTCGATCGCCACGTCTCGAGTGGTTTCGATGTTGAGTGAATTTAATATTATACCCCTCAAAAAAATGTTTTGAACCAGTTTCATACAGCGCCTGTTGTGTGTTTCAAAACAGGAAGAATACAGTACTTACTAAATATGCGCAAAAGATACAATATACACATACAGTATTCGAGTCGGGGCAAGTCCGAGAAGAAAATTGTAAATTAGGTACTGAAGTTTGAGAAGTCACGTAACATTAATGGTTTGGAAGTATATATTTATTTTTCGCTGTTTAGATAATACATGGATACTTAGCAAGTTTTTTTCAACATCTACGACTACAAGTAGGCAGACCGTAGATCTGAATTGTATTATGTGAATAAATCATAAATAAATAATGAAACATTTACTTTATAATACTTGATAATTTCATAATCAAAACAAATTAGGGGGAGCTTAAAAAATACAAGTTTTTGCGGCGATTTCATTAAGAATGCGCCCACGGAGTTGAGCTTATTGGCGAGAGTGGAATTTTTGTATGCGTGTGTGTAGTTATCCGAATATTCAGTGCCCATTTGTTTTTGTGTATGACCTTATTATCGATCAGTCGATCGCGAGCTATTTTGAAGATTTTAGTCGATCGCGGTCAAAAGCAGGTTGACCACCCCTGATATATATCGTTGGCATTGAAACTAATCGTCTGGGATCTGAAATACAGAAAATGTAAGTATTTATTTTCAATACTAATGGATGTTTCACCGATCACCGGCTTCCATGTCTGTTTCCGAAACGTTTGTTTACGAAATATTGTCCAGCCAGCCATCATTTAGCGGCGATGCAACAGTTGGAATTTTCCCTCAGTTAATTAAGACTTCGATAGATTGTCAAACCTATATACTTGTAAACATTGACTGGTTTTTATAGTTGTACTCGCTCTAATTTTTTTTTTTTTTTTTTCTGAAAGTTAAGTATAAGTTCATTAATTCAATGATTGATCCTGGCAAGTTTTAGTTTAATTGCAATAAAAAAATCAATCTGAAATTAATCCTGATAACGCTGCGACAGACCGGGATAAATATAATTATCTGTACTTTTGTATTGCACGTGATTAAATATTTTTGAATCTAAATGATGGTAATGAACATGTAAATTGTTTTGTATGGGCCAGCTCTCAAAAAGCATCAAAAATTTGACAATGGTAAAGTATAGAGGAATTTTGGGGGTCAAGGGTCGAGGAAACATTCAATGAAATTTCTCTATTCAAACTTGCATTTAGGTTATTAATCCACTACATAGAAATTCAATGTCTTGAATCATTATTGTATATGTTAATATGAAATGATACATCTTATTTTCTATGCTAAGCCAAACTTGCATTTATATTATTAATCCAATATAAAGAGATTAGATACTTCAAATGATTAATAAATAATATAAAATGCTACATCTTATTCTCTAT